TCACAAGTCTCACTCCACACAAATTTGACTCCCTTCCGAGTTAGTCTAGTCAATGGCGAAGCTAACCTGGAGAAATCCTTCACAAACCGACGGTAATACCGCCACAAAGGAGATGAAGACTCCAAGATCAACTTGCTCCAAATCCAAACTTTTTCAGATTAAATCGAAGCTCTCAACACCCTCTATCTTTTTAACAAAGGCCCTAGGCTAGATTCACACTCTAGGGAGATCAAATCTTAGAGAGAATATAATTTTAGAGAGAGAGAGTGTCGGATTAAGGGTTTTGGATCAAAAAGAAAGTGAAAAAGTGATGTTTAAGACGCTGCTGTCCGCTGATATAAAACACTCTCGCTCGAGCGAAGGATTGGTCGCTCGAGCGACCAGACACAGAAAACTCTCGCTCGAGCCAAGAAGTTCTCGATCGAGCGAAGAAAAACCCAGACCGCTCGAGCCACGAAAAGCTCGCTCGAGCCAGAAACTACAACTCTCAGGTCCAGAACCGGGGCAACACTACTCTCGCTCGAGCGACAACCTCTTCGCTCGAGCGAAGGACCAAAAATCTGGGCAGCAACACTTGGTTCCCAAGCACAACCAACCTGTAACAAACCTGCCCAACACATCCCATAACTCAAAATACAAAGTAAAAAGGATGCAAACTAGGAGATAAACAACTACCAACATCCACGGACACATGTCCGGATCACTGTACAACAAGGGTAAACCCGGGATCGCTATACTATACGAACAAAGCCCTTATCTAGCAATTCCTGGAGCTGAACTTTCAACTCAACCAACTCCGCTAGAGCAAAACGGTAAGGTGCCATAGAAATCGGCGCCGTGCCGGGCACTAGATCAATAGAGAACTCAATCTCTCAGTGAGGTGGGAAATTAACAAGGTCCTCGGGAAAGACATCCGAATACTCGCAAACCACCCTCGGCAACACAATCTGGGTCTCATCACACTCACCACTCTCAAAGCTAGTAAGTAGACCACTAAGCTCACTCCGCCCTCGCGAATCATACCCCGGTGGCAAAACACTACCAACCCGGTCTCCCAAGAAATGGAACCACTCCCCGCTCAAGGTACATAACGTGACCCTCTGGCGGTAGCAATCGATAACAGCCCGGTATGACGATAGCCAGTCCATACCCAAAATAACATCAAAACCCCTCATGGGCATGACAACAAACGGAAAAGGAAGCCTATAATCGGCGACCTCAATATCACATCCTCTAACACCCTGTTTCACAACAAGCCCGCTAGCCTCTGATGCTCGGCCTTCACCTGCTGGCAAGTAAGGCATTTCGATACGAAAACAGCCACGTCTCTTTTCATACCCCGCCACCAAAACTGGCGACCCAAAGCCTGATACATCTTAGTACCTCCCGGATGCACCGCAAGGCACGAATGATGAAACTCTCGGAGTACTTCCTCAATATCAATCAACACACTAGCAACCGAGTTGCAAAACAAAAAGGTACCTCTCATTACTGATGGAGCCGGTACTAAATCCTGCGCGGTAACAACATACACGCACCCCGTAGGCCCCTAATCTACTTGCTCACCCCTCGGAGCATACGACTGCTGCACTGACTCGGACGACGAAGCCCCCGGATTGGCCCTCGAGGCCTGCACAGACTGAGCTGGCTGATAACTCTGCGTCTGCCTTGGACCAGACACTCCTGAAGTAGCACTCAACTGTGGGCAATACCTCTTCAGGTGCCCAGGCTGCCCACACTGATAGCAAGATAAGGGCTGCCCCCTTCCCAAACTCTGACTCTGGGGTCTAGCTGAAGAAGAACCAGCTCTCTGACCTCCGCCCTTCTGCGGGCAAACCGAAGACTTGTGACCCAGCTGGCCACAAGTGTAGCAAGTCAAACCTCCCTAATTACCTCTCCCCGAGCCTGCACTCGGCACCGGAAAGGTAGATCTAGCAACTCCACCCTGAGACTGCTGAGGGTTATAACCCCTCTGTCTCCTGCCATCACCCTGACCCTCCTGGCCCTGCTTGGAGCCTCTATGTTTCTCTTCGTCTTCCTCCTGCATCATAAGCTCCATATGAGCTGCAGCATCCACTAAATGTCTATACTCTCGGATGTAAGACCCACCAACCCTCAACTTGAGGCCCCGCCTTAACTTCCGCTCAAACTCATAGCAACGGCGTTCTTCGGACGCCACCAACTCAGGTGCAAACCTGGACAAACTAGTAAAAGTGGCCTCAAACTCTGCCACGGACATACCCTACTGATTAAGCCGGCTAAACTGATCCCTCAGCTTCTCCCTAGCAACTGCAGATAAGAACCTCTCCTGGAAAGCATTCACAAACGCCTCCCATGTACCACCAACATGAGCCTTCTCGTACTTCCACCATTGACCCGCATCTCCCTTCAGCTGGAAGGATGCCAAGGTCACTTTCAATGCTCCGTCCTCGATGCCAAGCATATCGAACGTCTTACTCATTTGTTCTAACCACTCGTCAACCTTCAATGGTTCCTTCGAATCTCCAACAAACTCGTCCGGATTAGACTGGAAGAACTCCCTCTTCAAGAAAGAAGGCCCTGCCTCAGCTGCCTGATTCCCTTGTTTAACACTTGTTATGTTAATCCTTGTTGATCCCTGTTACAGTATATGTTAATCCTTGTTGAAATTTGTAGCAATTTACAAGTTGAAGATA